CAAACCAGAATAGGGTTGAGCACAAGACCAACCCGTTTTGAGGAACAGGGTGCGAGTTTAAATGCTGCATATTACTCTAACTTTGTGTTTAAAGAAAATATGGCCACCCTTAAGTTGCCTCCAAAGTAATATATTTTTCTCACGTGTTATTTTATGAGGTAACATATAAAAATCTGTAAACAGTCAACAATTTCTAATAAATGAAAATATTTAAACTAGCTTAACATTGCTGCCAAGAATATTTAACAATTTCCTTAACATTGTTTAATATATAAACAGATAACTGTAGAACAAAGTCCATCTTTGTCAGCACGTAGGTTCACTGCACGTGTCTTTAATTGATGATTAACTGTTGATTATGGGCTGAGGGCTCTAGATCCTTTATACCGTACTTGTACATCTGCGGTAAATCAAGATTTTTAAAAATGGTGTCTTTAAAACTCTCTACAATATCTTAAAACGAATCTGGGAAGTTTTTAAAAGACCAGAGCGATTTGACCCACTTTGAAGCAACATCACTACAGATAAGCTGAAGCTCCTTGATTTATCTTTTACTGTCCATTGTGAGACAGCAGGATATCTGACATGTTTTAAACAAAAATATCCAACAGTTCATATGTCCTTTTTGGACAGAAAAAAACCTTGTTTGAAGTTGAACCTTTGTAATTAACCAAATGCCTATTTCACACGGTGATTTACAAAGATAAATTCCCCAAATATCCTATGTGACTTCCTGTTTTTTTTCTTTCGCTCATTTTGTCTCCCATAAAAAAACTAATCTCTCTAATCTTTCTAAGGAAAAGCATTCAGTGGCTGACTAGTGAGCTCCACGGTGCTGGGCAGTGAGCACAGGGCCCACTAGAGGACGTCGGGCCCTCAGGCCACCCTTGTGAAGTCTGTTTCTGATTGGTTTGTCAAAGACATTCACACCAGTGGCCTTCTGGAGGTCATTTTGTAGGGCTCTGGCAGTGCTCCTCCTGCTCCTTCTTGCACAAAGGAGCAGATACCAGTCATGGTGATGGGTTGTACATGAAAAATTACAATTAAAAGAATGACTTTAAAAACAATTCTAAACTGAACTTAGAGGATGATGCTTTTTTTTTTTTTTTTTTTTTTATTTATTTTTTTTACCTTATTTATGTTCATTTACATTTTTTGCTTTGTACATTTTTTATTAGTGTCCTGATTTTTCACGAGTTTTATATCTGTCTGTTTTTCTTGAGTTGTTAATTTTCCACTTTATGTACATTAATTCTAACATCTTTAGTGTTAAAATGTTCATAATGAATAAAGCTTATTTTATTCCTCCTTTTTCTGACACTGTAAAATATCATGTCTGTTCCTACCTGTAAAGCTGCTGTTTTCAGTCTCATGACGTAACTTCCTGCTCCCTCTCCTGCACTAGCATCAAGCTCTGAGCAGTTACACCTGTCGCAGCACCAACTGTTGGGAGTTGCTTTAGCTGGAAACAAAACTCTATATTTCTGGCTGTTCAAGTGGGTTACTGCCAGATTCTTGAGACCAATTTGTGTAATTAGACCATCCAGCATTCCTAGTTTTAACTTCCTGATATTACCCTGTCTTATGTTTTCTCCTGCCTCTTTCTGATCTCTAAATTGCAGGATGTCTCTGTTTATATTTGTGAACCCTTAGCGGTAGGAGCTGTTGTTCGCTCATCATGTTTTGATCTGTCTGCATATTTACAAATTTTCTTAGGTGAGCATTGCTGAAATTCTGTCCCCACGGATGCAGCATGGAGAAAGTGGAAGCCAAAAATTACGTAATTTGGCTGCAGAGACCTCGCGGACACGTAAAGCATAAACCAAATTTATTTAAAATCAATGGGGATGATCACACCCGATTTCTCACAAGGGGGATTGTGTAGGTCCGACTGAGATAAACCTCAGGTCTTTTTTAGTCGGACCATGCAGCAATTCAGCTGCAATTTCATGGGCATGACAGAAAGAAAGACGCAAGTCAAAAGGTAATATATATCTGCTTTGGGGGAAAATACTAAATAAAATCTGTTAAGCGTACAGGAAAAGAGATACACGGCAAGCAGGACAGACTAGCCCAAAAAAAAATCTATGAAACATTAAAAAATAGAATAGCCTACTTTACCCATGATAGGAGTTCAGGAGGACACAAAATATAGTAGTTATCCTCTTTGAGCCTTGCAAAAAAACGAGGGACAAAAAGCACCACTTCTCCTAAATTAATTAAAGTGGATGAAAAACGGAAAGTGTATTATAGTGATCCTCTTTGAGCCTCACAAAAAGCTAAATAAATAGGGGCAAACTGAGCAGGTAAGTGTGATATATATCTCTCACCTCGTTATGAAAAAAAAGAAAAGAAAAACTTTGATATACTTCCCAGATCTGTCATAGTTCTGGTTCTTTTATGTTTTTTTTTTTTGAGTTTTCGGTTTTACTTTGTTCCATGTTTGTCTTATTACCTTTCTACGCCTCTTCTTCTCATGAAAGGCTACACTTTGCATATTTGCCTTCATAAACATCTGCTTCCAAACAGACTTTGGCAATAAACATGAACTTTGGATGACATATCCTAACTTTTTGATTTGATTTAATAATAATTTGTGCGCCGTGTCCCAAGTCCATTGCATCATCAATGACCCCATACACACCTACCGTGGACTGTTCTCCCTACAATGACTGTTCTCCCTGCTGCTCTCTAGGAAGAGGCTTCGCAACATTCAATGCAGGTCCAGCAGATTCTGCAAAAGTTTCTTCTCCACTGTCATCAGACTGCTGAATGTTTTGTAAAATGGGTTATCGTATTTTATTTTATTTATTATATTTTATCATTATATATATAAAAAACCCTGAAATGTTAAAACTGTAAATTTACAGTCATATGTTTGTATTACTGTTTTTATATATCACATATCCTTTGTATGACCATGTTCAGTTTTTTTGTATTCTAGCTGATATATATATATATATATATATATATATATATATATATATATATATATATATATATATATATATATATATATATATATATATATATATATATATATATATATATATATATATAGAATATAATTTTTTTTAAAACCCCCAATAATAGTGCCAGCCTTCAGAATCCAATATCAGTTGGACTTTAATTTCTTCTACACCCCTCAACTTTAATCATTAATATATAGTGAGAGAAAAAAATGGCGGGCTTGCAGGATTACCATGAGACATGACAGCATAATTACCATGAGGAAAAGAGGTATTTATGTTGTAATGACAAGTTAACAACATGTCAAGAGACTTTGAAAAAATATATAACCTTCACAGATGCCTCACATACCTAAAACTTCCTCGGATTTGGTGATGTCAACCAAACTAACATAAGGGAAACTGAGAGATTTTAAGAAGTCAGCCACTGAATGCTTCTACTTTGAAAGATAAGTATGTTGAACATAAAGTAAATGAAATTGTTTTATTTCTGTCCAAAGAAGACACACTAAATGTTAGATATTTTTATTTAAAACATTTCAGATATCCTCAAGTCTCACAATGGACATAAAAAAATAAATCAGGGTATATCAGCATGTCTGTTGTAATGTTGGTCCAAAGTGGATAAAATATCTCAGGTCTTTTGTTAGCTTCCTGAATTCATTTAAGATACTGTAACAATATTAAAGCACAAGGTACAAGTACAATATAAAGAGTCTAGACCCCTGAGCTCATAATAAAAAGTTAAATATTAGAGAAAAATTGAAAGACAGTCCCCACATGCTGACCATGATGAACTTTGTTTCCCAGTTATCTGTTTATATATTTACCAAACAGGTATTGAGGAAATAGTTAAACCTTCCTTGCAGTAAAGTAAGCTCATTGGAATATTTTCAATTGTGGACTGTTTCCCAATTAATGTTAAGCATTTTTCATTGAAATCCAGCTTTAATTGAAATTCCACAGAGTTAAATGTAATAACATTTCTGAGTTTAATATTCTATTGGTTGATAAATTTCTAAAGAAGGACCAAACATGGTTCTTTCCTTGTGTCTATCTGATGACCCAAATACTTTCCATCAACAATCTGATGAGCAATGACTATTTTATTGCTTTTTCCTCAATAAAAGCATTATAAACACTTTTAATCTGGAAACTACTCTAATCTGTGCTTCTAATCAACATTAAAAAAACAGTTACAGTTGGAAAAATAAGTATTTGACCCCTTGCTGATTTTGCAGGTTTGCCCACTTACAAATAATGTAACGATCTACAATTTTAATCATATGTACAATCTACTTATTTTTCCTCATCAGATGGTTATCAGTTTTTATAAATACTATGATGTGAATTTCTGGAATTTTCTTTGGGATTCTGTCTCTCACTGTTAGAATGTACATATGATTAAAATTATAGATCGTTGCATTCTTTGTAAGTGGGCAAACCTGCAAAATCAGCAAGGGGTCAAATACTTATTTCCCCCACTGTAAGTATTAGCATTGTAGGAAAATTCATATATTCTACTTTAGCTATCACTCCAGATTGACATGATCTTTGAAAATTGAGAAATTACGATCAGCAGTCTATCTACATAAACTTGTTTTAGTTGTATAAGTATTTTTGTAAAGGCTAATAATCTGAGCTACATGACTTTCATACCAGTTAAACTATGTAAACAACAACGATTTATTGTCCTTAATATGGTTCAACTTAGATTATCCTCTAGAATATTCTATCCTTGAAATTTGAGAAATTAAAACTGTTTTTTAGCTTATTGAAATATGTGGAACATGTGGATTACAGTTAAGATGGTATCATATTTCCTATGATTCAGATTTAAGATTAAAGTTCAATCTCTACAAACAACATTTATATGTTTGCTTTCCAATGTACTTATTGTTCTCTGAAGTCAAAAGGCCAAGGTTTCAAGTCTTATCTGCATGTGATTCTAAATAACACGTGCAGATAAAATAAAATGGGTGAATGATTAATCCTTGGTAATGGGATATATAAGGTATGGGTCCCAAACAGTCCACAAAGCAGACCTGCAGAGACTTAAACTTAGAATGGAGCTGACAATGTTTTTCCGAGCACTGCTGCTAATCTGCTCTCTGTCTATATCTCAGCTCCAGGCTTTGACCCACAAAGAACTAATTTCCCATTCAAGGAAAAATGGATCACAGGTAGAAGATGCTGAAATTGTTCCTAACCCCCAACAAACAATTCCACAGGACATCAATACTGTGCTGAGAGAGTTGATCGCCTCGGTGGCTGGACTGAAGGTGGAGACAAAGTACCTACAGAGAGATCATGAAGGTATATTTAGTAGCAGCTGTTTAGAATGTTTTTTTGAATGCTTGTCTCAATGAAAGAACAGCACAATTTACCATTTCCTTTTTATTACTACAACAGCTAACACGAGAGAGCTGAAAGATGAGTTGGAGAAGGTGAAACAACTGTACCAAGGTTTTTATCAAACTACATTATTCCTGCTTTCATGTGAAGAATATTTTTATATTATAATATGTTTAATATGTAATTGCTACTTTTACAAGTAACTAATTTCCAATATCTAGAGTGTAGTACAAATATATGCATTACAATCTGTAAGGAACTGCAGATTGTAAAAAGAAAAAAAAGAAACCTCTCAGTGAATCCAAATCAGAGTGCTTTTATTTGACATTGTACCGAGTACAATTCAATTTCTTTAAGGACAACACATGCAAGAGACACAATACAAAAACACATATGGTCAGACAGCTGCAGCAATTGGAAGGATGAAAGTGTTTGAACCTGGTCCTTTATTTGTGAGGTAGTGATCCCTGTGTAATACAAAAAAGAAAAGACATTTTTGATTTTTAACAGAATTTATTCCAATTAAGTAAAGCAGTCAATACAGATAATAGATATTACCTTATCTCTAGTCCACCTCAACATTTCTCTTAGAGGGTGCAGTTGAGTGTGAACTTAAATGTAGGTTTTTTTATTCATCCTAAAGCTACACCCTCTCAAGATGCATCTGACCCAAAGTCTAAAGCAAATCTTCCTGTTAACAGTTAACTAAATAGTTTCAAACAAAATATAATAATACCACACATAGGGTGTAGATGAGGATACATGGTCCAGGGGGGTCCTGTCATTATGCCTCTAAATCATGATGCACCCTGGTTACTTGGCTAAGGTAAGTCCCTTTGGTTGATGAGTCTGCATGCATGACTTTTGCCTGGGAGTCTGGGGATTGAATGCAATCCATAGATGCCACACAGGACTAAGACTTTTGTGATAACATTTTATAGCACTAATACACAACACCTCATCTCATTACCTTTTACAAAGAAAATCCAATAAACTCAAACGGTCATATTGGTAAAAAGTTTTCTATCTAAGGAACACCAGCTAAAGTAGGTGATGTTAGACATTTATTTACATTTTCTTATTGACTTACAATGATTCATCAAAGCAATAACTTTGTAATTTGTTTTTGTTTTCACACACAGCTAAGACAGAGGAGTTGGACAAGCTGAAACAACAGCACCAAGGTATTTAAAAAGTGAGAAAAATGAATAAAGAAAGCAACACCAGCTTCAATTAAAGTATAAACATACAAATATTTCTTTTTAAATCACCATATATAAATTCAAGTAAAATCTTGTGTGATAAGAATTGTTTTTGGATCAGTAGAGGTACCAAGTAACACAGTACAAATACTTTATTACCTTACTTAAAGGCACATGGACTTTGTGACCTACAAAGTTGTCGTATACGAGTTATTTTAAATGATTCCTCAGGCCAGTATACAGTGCTTGACACTATCAATGCTACGAGCGGGGCTCCCCTCTTATCTAGTCAACTTAGATATATCTAAGTAAGTTGGGGGAAGACGCAGGTTGGCCAGGTTATGTGACCTAGAAGAACAAATTGCCTTACGACCAGACTCTTATATAGTCATGGAAATAATGCTTTTCCTCCAGTATTTTTCCACCTGTTCGACCAATGGTCAGGCAAGGAAAAAGTTTAAACCTTCTATGGAGGCAAAAAAAGAGAAAACGTGAAAGAGATCATGCGCGAGGAAAAACAAGAGTTGATCTTGGAAAGGAGGTTTTTTGTTGGTGCAGGCTGAAAGAAGAACCTGGATGTAAAACCGATTCTCTTTCCTCAACTTTATTATTAGACTGATAGCTTAACATTGTGCTCCTAGTATAGAGTCAAATATCTTTCTTATAATTTTTGAGGTTTAGTAGAATCAAAATATGTGCAGAAAAAGCTAGCAGCCTACACACAAAAGGTAACCTAGACGCCCTGTCCAACCCAGTGGCTGTTCACTGGAGCTCCGGCATGTGGCTGCCGTGTTGTGCTCTCCAGAGAGCAGCAGTTTTTCTCACGCCCTCTAAAACTTTACTGGAGTAATTAGTTTTTAGACAAGTTTTACTTCTACTTCTTAAATTTTATCTCTACTTTCTACTCCTTACATTTTAAAAATAGACTCATTCGTTTGGTTTCATTTGTGCTAATTTTCATTATGGCCTGTTGGTATTTGAAAAAAACAAACAAAAACAAAAATCAAAGTATTTAGTTTCATCCAGACAATTAATTTGTTTATGGTTGCACTCGCTACTGCACCAACTTGTTCTTTCACCACATACCAAAATAAATAGTATTTCAAGAGTATGAAAAGTAAAATTTGACACTGTTACTATTAGTTATAAAAGAGAGAAAATAAAGTATAAGAAATTACGTTCCAGAAATGTAGATAAATGTTCCTTTAATAGGTTAGTGCAGTCTGTCCTTAACACTGTCAGGGTTTGGTTGAGGTTTGAGGACCCAAATGCAGAGGCTGAGAGGCAGAGATGAGTTCTTGCTGTTTTTATTGAATTAACACAGTTAACAGACGCAGTAATCCAAAATCCAACACAGAATGTAAAACTTAACCAGAACCATGGAGACATCAGGGGAAAAGAGCACTCAAAAGAAAACATAACAGAACCAGGACCGTGACAAACACTTTTTCCTGTGTTACTTTTTTATACTTCAAGTAGTTTTAAACATGGTATTTTTACTTGAGTAAAAAGCTTAAGTTGATACTCTATCTTCTACAAAAGTGTTTTTAAACAGTAGGATTTGTTCTTCCACTTGAGTAATAAACATTTATACTTTTGACACCTCTGTGCATCAGACATGCATAATAAAAAAAAAAAAATAAATTGTTTACATAGAAATAAAGAAATAATGAATTTGATTTGGAAAACCTATGGGCTGTTCATATTTTCTACTTTATGAGTTTTGGCTAAATGTTACATGAATTCTATAAAAATATGTATTATCGTTGTAGCAGCTAAAATCCTATATTTTAGGCTACTGGTTGCTGTTCCTGAAAACAGTGTGGAGGCTCTGAAGAAAGAAGGTTCAATCCGTCAAAGAAATAACTTTGTAAAATAATTTCATCTATTTTTTCCACACAGTTCAGACACAAGAGTTGGACAAGGTGAAACAACAGCACCAAGGTATTTAAAGAATGTGGAAATGCAATTAGAAAGGAACACCAACTTCAATTAAAGTATAAACAATACATTTGTATTAAGTGCATTTTTTATAACATCACACAATATAAAACAAGCAAAATCTTGCATGATAACTAATGATTTTGTATCAGACATATATAAATGTAAAGAAAGAAATGGTTAACACAGAAACCAATAATCAATTAATGTTACTTACTTATGCCTAGTCATGGTGTCTGCTAAATGAGGTTTAGCAAAATGTTACAAAACGTAACTTAAAAAACATATATTTATTTATATTAAGGTATTATTGATGTATTTTATAACAAATGTTTTGCTTTGTATGATTTCATCTCATATAGAAGATCTTATCAATTTTAAAAGCAGGGCAAACATCACTGAAAATCAGGTGGAGACTCTAAAGAAAGAAGCCGAAGGTTTGTGAATCCAGAAATTAACTTCCTTTGTAAACCATTGCAACCATTAAGGTGCATTCACATTGAACACATTGTCCACTGTTAGAGCAGTGGATTTGCATATTGTCTTTATGCAAACTATACAGGAAAGAGTGGTCAACACTTGGCTCTCTCCACGTGGTACTAGTTTGTCTGTTTTAAGCTTATTATACATTTTAAAAAACAAATAGTGTATTGTTCTTACTAAAAAGTTGGTCATTTTTAAATTCTATACGTTTTGTAGTATTATTCAGCTAATGTGACTTTTTCTTCTTAATCAAAACCAACCAAATCCCAATACTTTCTTCCTTATAGTGAAACGAGTGGCTTTCTCAGCTTCATTGTTGGCCTCAGGCTCAGAAACTCTCGGCCCATTTAACTCGCACGTCCCTCTGATCTTCAGGCATGTTGTTACAAATATCGGAAATGCCTACAACCCAAACACAGGTAACTTGGTTTAATAATTGTTTCATATACTGTTTATTTATATAGTTCAAAGCAAATGTCAAACTTTGGTCAGAAGGTCCTGGAATGATAATGTCACGTAAGAAAAAAATAGCCTTTATATCATGTTTATTGATTTTGGAAAGGTAACTTTCTAGATTTCACGGGTATTATTGAAAACTGGTAGTTTTGTCACAAATTTTCCAAATTGTTGTTAGTATTATTTTATTTTTTCTTTTCTTCAGGGTTTTTCATAGCACCACTGAGAGGAGCCTACCACTTTGCATTCAAAGTAGGTGCAAATGGACATTCTTCACATGCTTCAGGTGCTGTGCTGGTCAAGAACGGAGAACACATTTTTATTGCATATGAACATCAAGTTAATGGATTCGGTTCTTCAGCCAGTGGTGTCACATTGTTGTTAGAAATAGGAGATGTTGTGTTTTTGCGTCAGTGGCAAAACACAAGGATATATGATAATACAAATCATCATACAACCTTCAGCGGCCATCTGCTTTTCACCATATGAGAAGATCTGATTTCTCTATCAACATTATAAATCAGCAGAAACTATTGTTTTATGTTAAAGTTTTAGTTTCATGTGAAAAAATGTAATCAAACCAAAATATAAATTATTCAAACCAACTCTGCTGCACAGTAGTTTCAACAGGTTATTCATGTTCCTCTTGTAGTTCTGAAGGATTAAGGTGATTGTACTCAAGAAGAAGCATCAATAACTGTTTAGAAGTGCTGTGTGAATAAATATCTTTTATAAATTAATCAGTGGATGACTGTGGTAGGTATAGGTGTGTTTGTGTCTATTTTTAGATCTATGTGCATGTAGCAAACTATTCTGAATACATTTTAAACTAAAATATAAAATTTATTTCCCTGCCTTTGAATAAAAATGGAAATTGAAAAACCCACAGTTTGAGTCATGATTTTAATGCATTTAAATACTTCTGTAGTAATAAAAAGCCTGACCCTGATGCAGAAAACCACTCAGAGAACCAAGGGAAAGTTTAACAGGTTTATTGATGAAGACAACAGGAGGTGGAATCTTGAACTCAGTGAGCAGATGAACCGGAACTAAAAGTGGAAGGAAGTTAACAACGGTTACCGTATTTTCACGACTATAAGGCGCATATAAACGTTTTTTTTTTCCCTCAAAATGTGCGGCGCGCCCTTTGGTGCGGTGCGCCCTATGTTTGTTGTTACTGCGGACTTTTGAGACCACCATGCACCATGCAGAACTCCTCATCTCCTCATTGAGTAGATGATGAAAGAGTGGCTGAGGGAGGTGAATGTAAGGAGACCAGGTGGTTTTTTTCCACTCATCACCATCGCTGTTAATCTGTGACTCCATGATAATAAAAGCAGGATAATAAAAGCGAACATATTCTGCCGGCAGAATAATTCCACAAAAAGTGGAAGGCAGCGGGGGCACTGTTTTTTGAGCTTTCGCAAAAGCCGGCATCATTTCCGAGGAGCCGCCCGGCACGGAAAGTGACTCTGACGGCGAAGAAGGGGAAATTGGCATGTCTGATTTAGCGCAGCTGTTTAATTCAGAAACAGGGGATGATGACTTTGATGGGTTCGATTACTACTTTGTAATAAATACATGAATAAAGCAGAATCATACTCAGTTTTGCTCCCGCTCTATTTTTCTACCTGATAACTTAATTCAACAGCAGCCTCTGGGCAGGGTCGCCTCCGGGTTCACCGCGGCGGCTGGTAGGTGTTTTTCATCTAAATAATCTAAAGGATTATAAAAGGATAATAGGACAATAAAAGCGAACATATTCTGTCGGCAGGTTTCAGGATTTTAAGTTAATTGTTGCGTCAATAAACTGTTTCAGAGGAGTGATCACAGCACTCTGTGTCATCAGCGATGTGTCTCTCACGGCCGGCTCCCAGGTTTGATTAATTGTAATAAATACACCTTGCAGCTATATTTGCTGTGATCAGTGGGAATAAAGTAGTTTTAATATGTTTTTAAGTGAGAAAATCCACCTGTAAACTTAATCATTGCAGTCAGTTAATCCAGATTATCATCCTGCCTTCTAATATTAGTTCTGTCTGTGCCACTCAGACCCCCACATACCAGCGGTGCACGACAATAGGAATGTCTCACGGCCAGCTCCCAGGTTTGATTAATACTTTGTAATAAATACATGAATAAAGCACAAACATACTCAGTTTTGCTCCCGCTCTATTTTTAAATACGCAGTAGAGGTATTTAAACGTAGTAGAGGACATGTACCTGTATATAAAAAACTCACCCTATAGTCCGGTGCGCCTTATGTGTGTGTTAAATACAGAAATGGCACACATAACTGAGACTGCGCCTTTTAGTATGGTGTGCCTTATGGTCGGGAAAATACGGTAGTTCAATGGCCGTAGGAAATTGAATAGAGTTCTTGAAACATTGAGGAAACGGGACTCACGTAGGAGGGGGTCTCAGTCAAAATTTGAATCCAGAATGTGTGGGTTTTCCAGAGGAAGGTTAACTCGTTGGAGGGCGGACAGGTTGGTGGAGTGATCCCTGAAGAGTATGAGAGCGGACTGCCACTTGGAATTGCGACGGTACTTGAAGGGATTGTGTTGAAATTTTTCCTAATTCAGTGTGAGAACAAAAGATCCTTCCAGGTGGAGAATGCCAAAACTTCCAGTCAGCGGGAAGGCTTCCTGCCAAATGGCAAAGACAATGACACAGTTAATCTCAGAGAAACAAAGCTCAGATTAGGCTCAGCTAATCCCGGCTTGGCTAGAGTACCCAAAACTGGCAAACACTCTGGCGTTGAGGCAGTGGCAGTCAACTGCTCAAATACTCCCCAGTGATGAACCAACGAGCCGCAGGTGTGCAGGAGAGACAACGAGGACAGGGTGCCACCTGATGGTGGAGGGAGAGACAAACACAAAACAACTCACACAAGCTAGATTCCTAACAGCTCAAACTATACTTTACTCTAACCCTTTTGGACAACCTAAAACATAAAAATTTGTTGTCACTGCTCATTCTTTATGTTTTATGTTGTGCTATTCTGACTGTTAGTATTGTTTTCGTTAGTTGTGAATATCAATATATTTTCGATTTAAAATTTTGTATATGGCTTTGGTCTTTATTCACCTCCCTGGCTCCATTACAAACCAATCTTTTGACGTGACTAATGATTGATAACATTGTTAAGCTTAACCATTAGCTTATCCTGAGTTAATATTAAAATATATTCTCAAATTCTATATGCAATATATTTTAAGGATATTCTTGGATATCTAAAAACAATCTTCATTATTCAGTTATTTTTCTAAGTTTCTTAAAACTATAATATCTATTCTTACCTGAAATCAAACAACAAGCAGTAATGCCTGCTATTGCAGTTAAGTAATACATGTTACAATCTTAAGGAAAACTCATTTAATTGTTTGATATGTTCAATCTGCATTATTCCTTAAACCAAATATTAAGAAGTGTCTTTATTTACGTGGTTTAGATTTTCAACTTATCGACTTTCTGGAGCGCTTTTTTTTCCCAGTTTAAATAAAAGCTGGTTATCATTTAGCACAATAACATTACCATGTTTTTTTCTATCACTATGTCTTTTACCTTTCCATATGAATTCAAAAACTGTTATTTCCAATGAATAAAGGGTTTTCTCTATAGGTACTGATGGAAAAAAAACTGTATTTGTGACAGAATCTTTTTTTTTTTAAATATTAATTAGACCATTAAGATCAATTAGCATTAACCCTTTTTAACTCTTTAATTTCTTTAACTAGGGGCTAAATAGTATATGGGTGATTCTGCTAGCCAATATTTCTTTATTTATTTACAGCCATACATCTTGGCTATATGAAAACATTCTTCAAGGCGCTTACTCTGAATGGTTCAGTTTTTAGAGCTGTTGACAAAAAAAAAAAAAAAAAAAAAAACGTATAAAAAAGCATAAAGCATGTGACGGTAAATGTCTGAATATAAAACCACAATACACATCCTATTATTCCCTTGTTAATTGTCCAGATTAACTAATAATTTTGAAGATATGGCACATTAAATATTTCTCAACCTTGTTTTTTCCTAAAATGTCTGGAACAGAAGCCTAACTTTACAGTAATTCCATTAAAATTATCCATATTTATAATAATATTAACTGTATTAAGTCTGCAGCATGTGTACACAAAAAAATAATCATAACATCCTGTGCCTCGTGGCATACATACTGTACCTGTTAGAAAGCCCATGTTGTCTAGATGTTTTCCATTGGAAACTGTTCATTTATATTGTGTTTTCGGTGAGCTTTTATATGTCTGACACACATGAATGCTCCATAGGGGTTCGAAACCCCATTGTCCGCACCACAGATGCGTGTGAGATGCATGAAAGTTTTTTCTACTGATGCAGCAGTGTACAGCTTGTTATTTCCCGTTTTCTCCTAACATTCGTCCTTTATATCCATATACCTACTGGACTTGCCTTACTGTACATGTCAGAAGGTGAGTTTAATGGTATTTCATTGTGCTGTATGGTGTTACATGCATATTTTATCTTTATATGCCTAATGTTAGGCATTTTATGCTGCTTGATGTTCAGCTACTAAGCTAAGTTGCACCATTTTCGATCTGTGCTGAATATTCTTTTAAAATATATGAGTCATATATGAGTCATTGCTGAATACAGTCTTTGATGTTCAGAGATACATATTTTATGTGTATTATGTATGGTGTGTTCTGCACTGATTGTTTCCTGTATTTCTTTATAGAACCACAGTAAATCCACCACAAACCAGATTTCTGCCTCTATGTCTGTTGGGATCTGGAGGTTTGTCCACTTTCTCCACCAGAGGGCGCACGAGATCTCCTGGAGCATGAGCTGTCTACAACACCTGTCCTCTATCTGCTCATCAGGAGGCTACCTACTTAAGGAGGCGGAGACCTACACTCCAGTGCCAGAGTGTTTGCCAGTAATGGTTAGCAAAGCCTGAGCCAACCTGCCTGTCTGAGTCTTCTGACTTTTTGTAAAATAAGCCTGATCCTGTTTACCTTTCTGTCTCACAGATCGATCCTGCCTGACAAATTGAAATCCTGGAGAGTTGTCTCTGCTGGTTACCTACCTGCCCGCTCTCAGTAGAACTCTGGAGGGCTGCATCTGTCTGTAATCTGCCTGCCCACCCTCAGAGATAACTTGGAGAGAAAAGACTCAGTTAGAGATCAGCCTGCCTCCAGTCAATGTCTTTTAATGGGGACGCACGTCATATACCTTGCCGTTCTAATCTTAGCACTGCTTATCTGCTTTTAATACTATTTCTAGGGTCAGGGCTCAAAGAGAAATAGACAAATAATTAAAATTGTGTAATGTGCGTGATGTTTATGACACAAACAGGTATAAACAGGTACTGGGCTAATAATAACCACCCCAAAGCTCCTCAAACACATTGAAATCTTAGTAAATAAATAAAAAAATGTGTAAAGAATTAAAAACCATGTTATATTGGCCAAAATGTAATTTAAACTACTCAAAATTACCAAGAAATAGGAGAAAAATGCCCAAAAGTTGTGTTTCAATGTGGATATTGTGGTAGGTAATGCACATAATTAAATAAAACCACTTGAATACAATAAAGGGACATCTGTTTAAACATATATGTGTTAGGAATCCAGTTTGTGTGGGTTGTGTTTTTTGTGTCTTTCTCTTCCTCCACCACCAGGAGGTGTTCTCGTTGGTCCTCTCGATGGTTGGCTCATCACTGAGGACTACTTAATCGGTGGACTGTCTCTACCTCGATGCCAGAGTGTTCCCTTTGGATGGTGGGCCACAAGAATCACCGGTTGATTAAGGCCACAGTCCTACTGAAGCCTGGATGACCTGAGAACTTGGAAGAGTGCATCATGTTGATAACTCAACCTCGAATGG